CGATTTTGTTTTGACAAGCAAAGAAAAATTTAGGTTTTTAAATTCTTTTTAAACTTATCTTGTTTAGAGTTTCAACTTGCTTTTATAAAAATGTAAAAAAGTTTTCTCTGCTTTGAGCATATTTTTGATACATAGTTTAGAACGCGTTCGCCAGGAATTTAATTCATAAATTTTTTATGTTATTGTAAAAATATTTTACTTTTTAAACAAATCACAAAGAAACAGAGCTATAGAGAAAAATCGTTTTTAATGATTAAATCTTTTTTTTTAAAAATTTAGGAAACTAAAAAAAAAATTAAATTAAATATAAAAGTTTTCATTATGCAAACTCTTTTGTTAATTATTCTTAAAACAAAAAAACAAATACTTCTACGCAAAACTTTAATCATGCAAACTTAAAAAAATACTCAACTGAAATAATTTAAGTATATTTAATAATTTGAATCGTATCTGTTTATAATAAATTTGTTTATTAAAAATTAAGTTCCTTAACTTATAAACAAACTCAAAAGTATTTTCATTCTACGTATAATTACAAAATTTTTTTTTTTTCGTTTGTAAGCAATTTAACTTAATAAAATAAAAAAAGAATAAATATGAGGTAATCTTTGTTAAGAACAAATTTAATTTATTTATTGAACTATATTTTTATTTTTAATTATATATCAACTTAATTAAAATATAGTAACATACTTTTTTTTTTAACTACTTTTTTTTCTTTGAGTTTCAAATTGACTTTTTTTGCTTACAAAATACGATTGTTTATTTATTTTGTTACTGATTGTCTTGTAGTACTCGAGATTTTAATTATGCATTGTTTAATTTTAAGTACACAAGTTTTAATTACATACAGGCTTTTTAACTATACATAAGCTTACAATTTTTTGACTTTGTAATATAAGTTATTTTATACTACAATAATTTTGTTTTTAGTAAAGCAGAATTTAGTATTGTAAATGTGATTATAAATATTACATAATTATACTATAAAGTTGTAGTAGAATTAGTAAACAAAAAAAAATTATTATTTTTAAACGCAGATAAACAGTGCAGAGAGATTTTGTTTTCTAAAAAAATCTCTTGGTGTGAAGTATCGTGTAATATTAATATAACATTAATGACAGTATGGTCAAGTTTGAAAAATAGTTTATAATAGAAAAAAAATATCATTTTAACTAAGATGAAAAAGTAATTTAAAAAAAATAATAACTTTATAATAAACTGCAATGCTTTATTAAGGTATGGCACAAAAAAAAAAAAAAAAAAAAAAAAAAAGAACGCCATTTGAAATGCAAATGTTTCTAGATTTAGATTGGACAGAATTAGGTTGGACTAAATAATTAATTTCTTAAATAAAAAATCAGTTCCTCAAAAAAAATTGTATTATGAAAAAATAAATTGATAATATTCTTGTAACAAGTTTAAACTAAATTTTGTATTTAATAATTAATTATTTAATATTTAATAATAATTAGAAAATAGTAATAATTTAGTAATTATATTTTAATTGTAATTATAATTATTTAATTTAGTAATTTGCTTACTAAAGCAAATTACTAAAAATAAATAATTATAATTAATATACACAGCGCAAAAATCAAAAGCTCCTGTAAAAAGCTTAGAGGAGCTGCTCCCATAGCTCATTATTTTTTAGGAGAGCTTTTCTCCACTCTCGCACTCATTTACTTACGCTGAGGACTGTATTTATAATTATATATTCTTTAGAAACAGCTTCCAAAGTAATTATAACATGTAAGAGACTGAGCACTAAACACTGTTGTATTATCTTTTAATTTAAAGCAATTGCTTTCTTAATCTTTTTTAATTTTAGTTATTGACTTGGCATTTGAACATTTTTCAAAATCTAAAACCTTAAAGTCTGCTACACTATTCTCTTGATTTCTCTGTTGAAAACATTTTCAACATCAGAAAATCAACAGATATTCTTAAAAATTCTTTTTTGAACTTTTTTTATTAACATGTAATTTGTTGTTTCATTTCTTTGCCAAAAAAAAGTTGAAAAAAAAAATTAACTGAAAAAAAAGTGCACTGCTTTGGCAATAGCTTTTAGTAGAATCATAACTGGTCAGTTATTTTGTTGTTGGCAATAACTCTTTCTAAAATTATTATGTTTTTTTTTTCTCTGTATGAATCATATTTTAGTGCATCTTTGTCTTTTTTATAAATTTTACTTTCCATAATTTTCAATCATTTGGTTTTTTTTCTTTAGTTTTTATTAATAAGGTGCTCCACAAAGTTCTAACAGCCTTTTCATTCCTCCTTATCAATATCACTGAGTTAACCAGAGCTGGCATCGAATCTTGGACCTCTTGGTTCTCTTGGAGCCACAGACGCTTTTTTTTATTTATTTTTTTTAAATATTCACTTCCAAGGCTGCAAGCAACCACTATTAGAATTCGAAGTTACTGGAAGAAAAAAGATGAATTTTATAGAGCAAGATAATGATTGACAGAGAACTTAAAAGATTGCAAATTATATGAATCAGGAAAACAAGATAAATGGAGCGAGTTCCAAAGAAATGATGAACTGGGAAAAAATAGATGAATAAGAATTTTTGGAGCACTTACGAGCGGTCACAGTAAAAGGATAAGACTTAATTGAATGACCAGTAACACAAGCATTTTAGTAGATGGCACAAGAGATTCTAGCTCTTTAGAGCAGTGCTCGTTATAGTATTTGTAGAAAAGAGAAAGAGAATCAATATTGTGACAATGTGATAATGGTTGGAGGATGGCTGCAAGAGCAGGTCCAACTATGTTTATATTGTTTTATAAATATCTAGCACTCACTTCAAGCCTTCAATGTTTTAGCAAAGACAAGTTTAATAGTCACTAAAGGTCATCAGATCTTATCCACTAGTTTTTTATTCACTGTAGAAAAACTATTATTCCAGGTCTTTTTGAAGCACAATAAAAACCACCATATTATCTACTTTTAACTTAGAAAATAATTTTATTTATTTATATAAAATATTTTTTATATATGGGATGACCATTTATTGAAACTAGTAAGCGACGTGCTAAAGTTTCTCTAGGTGTGATTTGCTTATAAAATGTCTTTTAATAAGTGGAAAAAAGCAAAAATATGCTGTTTATTTTTAAATTTTTTATTTTTAGTGGTTTTGAATAAGTTTGTAAGTGGTTTTGAATAAGTTTGTAAGTGGTTTTGAATAAGTTTGTTAGTGGTTTTGAATAAGTTTGTTAGTGGTTTTGAATAAGTTTGTTAGTTGCTTTAAATAAGTTTGTTAGTGGTTTTAAATAAGTTTGTTAGTGGTTTTGAATAAAATTGTAAGTGGTTTTGAATAAGTTTGTTGGTGGTTTTGAATAAGATTGTTAGTGGTTTTGAGTAAGTTTGTTAGTGGTTTTGAATAAGATTGTAAGTGGTTTTGAATAAGTTTGTTGGTGGTTTTGAATAAGATTGTTAGTGGTTTTGAATAAGTTTGTTAGTGGTTTTGAATAAGTTTGTTAGGCAAATATTATAAGTAAACCATTTTTATTATTATTAAATGATCATCAATAGTAAAACTCATTTTTAAGGTTTATTCTGTTTAGTAAAAAATCTTTGAAGAATTCTACATCAAAATTTTATTAAAAAATATACTTCCTCATAAATGTAAGTACAAAGCTTAAACTAGAGGGTTTTAATGTAGAGCTTTAAAGCAGTAGAAATTTTTAATGTGTTTTTTTCTAAATGAATTCATTTCCAACAAGGATGCAAGTAAGCACTGTTTATGTTGAGAGTTATCAGAAATTAAATATCAAGAAATAAAAGGCAAGTGAGCAGTTGTCAGAAGACTTAAGAAATTATAAATTATACGAGCCACAAAAAAATAAAAACAGGAGAGATTTCCAAGCAAGCTATCAAAATAACTGGAATTAGAGATTATATTTACCACTTCTCTGGTTACAAGGTCTTGAATGATAAACTTAAAACTGTCAGCACCATATTTATTTTTTGAAGAGGTAAAGAAGAAATTTTATCTATTTTTAGATATTTTATTTTTTTAAATTTGATGGTGAAGCTTCAAATAAAGGTTTAAATGTCTAGAAAAATTATGCTTGATCAGGATAAACTTAACGCTATTTCCAATCCAGTCTTCAAATTCAAAGCTTTGCCTTCATTTTTTGTTTTCTATTTATTTGCTTTATACTTACTTTCTTGTCTCTTTTTAGTAACTTTACATTTATTTATTTGTCTTTTATTTATTATTGTTAAATTAAGTTACACAGAGCAGCTACCAAGCTATCTTGTAAAGCTGCAGTAATGCTGAGTCATTTTCTTTAATAAAGTAGATGTAAGGGATAGATATGGATTGGTTAATGGAGTAAGTTTACATTTGTTTATTTCAAGTTGCATAATAATATTATAGATGCCATATTTGGACCCAATCAGTGTACATTAACTAAATAAATATTAAGTTGTTAAATAGAAACAAGAAAATGTTTAGTTTAGTTGTTTAGTTTACATTCTCCCTTTAGTGGCTTTTATTGTTTATTGACTTAGCAGTAATTTGTGTATGTTATAAAAACAGTTTTGCCTTGGTTAATGAAAGACCTCAGTCTTATATTTTAAAACTTTTAACGTGGTGATTTTCTTTTTTTCTACAAGCTGATGTATCTTGCATTTAATGCATCCTGCATTTGAGCTTTATGTTTTTATTTCAGTTAAAAAAGTTAATTTTCTTAGTTTTTTAAAATAAAGTTTTTTTATTTTTTAAAAAAAGTTATTTTTACTTCTCCTAGATCCAGAGAACCATTATAGTCATGGAATTTTCTTGTTTTTATTTTGCTTGTTTGTTTGGAAGTATTATGCTTTCAGGGATATGGTGGTTTTGAACAGCATACCCCTAACTTAATATGTGTGTCTTGTGTGCCACTATACCACATTATTTTATCATTATTTTGATATTATTTTACAAAATATTATTTTTTGCACCAACGTTAAGTTGGGTTCTTAATAAAAAGTTTAAACATTTTCAGAAGTGCAGTTTGTGTTCACGACTTGGCGCAACTTTAGAATGTTGCTCAAAACAATGTAGAGATGGATACCATTATATCTGTGCACGTCAAAGAGGTAATGAAAATTTTAATTTTCTTTAGATATTTTTTTTGTGAGTTTTTAAATAAAGAAAAAAAAAATACAGAAGTTGTTGTAAATGTTACTTTATCTTATTAAATCTTACTAAAAAAAAAATAAATAGCTTTCTACAGGACTTTTAACAGTCCTGTGTTTTTTTAATTACAGTTGCTATTAGTCCAGCTTTTTTTTGAAGTGGTCTCTAAGTGTCTTGTGTTTATGAAAAACAAATTAACAAATAAATTAAAAAACTTTTTTTTACTATTTTCAATACTATTAAACACTACAAAATGTTATTATTTAAGTTTAAGAACATATAATCATACTATATAAACTATTATATATATATATATATATATATATATATATATATATATATATATATATATAACTCATATAGTGTCGCTTTAAGAGCATTTTAATGTAAAAAAAGTCTCTTACGACTACAATTTTAATTACCTCGTCTCTTAAGCTGTTTTTGATTGTCATCGAAATGTCAAAGCAATTAATTTATGCGGAAGTACATTAAATTTAATTGTTTTTTAAAAAATTTTTAAAAAACCGCAATTATAACGACTAGAAAGTTTTTTTTAATTAGTGGTGTTTTTGTTATTGATTTAATAAAAAAACATTTTTTAAACATGCGTAAATGTTGCTACATCGACTATTTTATAGCCTGACTCGTAACGGAGTGCTGCTACAACGACTGACAAATAACCTGACTCGCAACTGAGTGCTGCTACATCGACTGACAAATAGCCTGACTCGCAACGGAGTGCTGCTACATCGACTGACAAATAGCCTGACTCGCAAGGGAATGCTGCTACATCGACTGACAAATAGCCTGACTCGCAAGGGAGTGCTGCTACAACGACTGACAAATAGCCTGACTCGCAAGAGAGTGCTGCTACATCGACTGAGGGTTTGGTTTGGCCAGGCAGTCTATCAATTAAAAAAAAAACTTTTTCTGGTCTGGTTTATTAACGCGCTCTTTAAAACTACAGTTTATGGGAAATATTTTTTGATGCTACGCAAGAGACATGCAAGACTATATATATATATATATATATATATATATATTAGGGTGCAGTGATAACATTAAAAAAAATTTTTTTTTTGAAATTTATTTTGCCTGGGTGTGCAAAAGTTGTCTATTCATATCAGAAATACTCTGTAAAAATTTCAATGCTCTAGAAAATTATCTTGAGGTGCCCCAAGGACTTTGAAATCCCCCAAAATCCCCAAGAAGTGACCTATGGAAAAAAATTTAGACTTTGTTTTTTTTTATTGAAATTCATTTTACCTGGGTGTGCAAAAGTTGTCTATTTGTATCAGAAATACTCTGTAAAAATTGCAGTGCTCTGGTAAATTATCTTGAGGTGCCACAAGGACTTTGAAATCCCCCAAAATCCCTAAAAAGTTTGAAATTACAATTATTATTAAATTCATATTTTCACAAAAAAATCAATGGCTAAAAATAAACTGATCTTGTTTTTCGATTTCTATTATAATAACCCTGTATGATGGTTTTAACATCATATCAGAACCTAATGAAAATATATTTATGTAAATTGTAGAACTCTGGGGTGCAACAAAAATTAAGGATAACAACTATGTCAAACGAAATTAAGTAAGTCTGGTTCGAGTTTATTTTCTGTCAGTTAATCATTTCAAGAACATCATTTTGAAAGGCTGAAATCAGATTTTGTGTTAAAGACTTTCATAGCTGATCGCGACTCTATTCTTGCACAAATAAAACCATCACGCTGAGGTCTCATCACACAGACTGCCATACTGGCTTCAGTGACTAGCTTCACGCCTCTTTCTACAGACTGAGTGTGACATGGAAAGTTTTTAAATTGTAGCATTTCTGAGGTCAGAATGTTGATTTTAAGCTAAGTCAATTTAATTGATCTGAACATCGGATATCGATCTTGCAGCCAATACACGTCTTAGTGCTAATTGATGAATGTAGGGCCTTTCATCGGTTGCCATTGATATTAATAAGTTTTCTGGGTGAGCAAAGTATGCATTTCTTTGGCTTACAGGATCAACAATTTTTTTGAGCTCAATAAGCAAGTATCTGGTATAATGCACCATTCGATAGAGATGGCGACTGCCATCCGTACAGGAATGCTTAGACTTCACTTCAAACCAAATAGGTGCATGTACTTTTTGTATGTAAGTTACAAGAATGATCAAGTTTTTGTCTGGCTTTTCTGTAGATACATATAACCGGAGGATACAACTAGCAGTTGTTATCCATTGAGAATGACACATGGGTCCCGGTTTTCGATTACCCAATTCAAAACTACATTGGCCATTGGATATTGCTTGACACATTTCATGCAAGTACCTTTGATCTGTACTGAGACCATCTGCATCAATGCTGGACAACACATTTCCTTCGATTGGTTGAAAACTGACAATTCACAAGTCCATGTTCTTCAATAATTTTCTGATTGGACCACTAAATGAATTTGGCCCATGTGTAGATCCATCCAGGTTAATCAGGAGATGTCTCAATGGTAACTTATTCATATGTAATAAACATACAAACCAGTGTAGAGATTTTTTGAAACAAAGCTCGAGAAGTCGAATAACACCACCAATATTACCTTTGTTGACATTCTTGCCATCACATCCAATTGCCACCAATGAACTGGTATCAATAGCATTTGCATTCAAAAATGATATAATGCTAATCTTTATACTTTGTGAAGATCCCTGTGATGTTTTAACATGTCCTAGGTATTCAGAACCAGGCTCCTTTATTAACACAACGTGCTCCTCGGTCTCCAAAGCTGGATGATATCTATTTCCTTTAATTATCTGGCTTTGAGTTTTGTCCTTTCGACCATCGAAATACAACCCTTTCAATGTTTTGGCAGCACCAGCTTGTAAAATTTTTCTCTTTTTATGTTTTTCTCTACGACTTTTACTTGGGTCAATAACATCAGATGAGTCATGTGCATTAATAATGCCATAATCAACCAAAACAGCCTAATGCTGCAGCTGAGCGATCCGATACTCCCCATCGATCACATTCACACTAATGTTGGTAGTGGAGTTCGCATTTGAGAGTTCAAAATTTCTTGTGAGCTTTTATTATTAGTTGATGATGGTGACTTAGGCGAGTCTATCATGAAGTCAACATTACTATCTCTTTCGATGATAGCTTCATCTAAATAACCTAACGTGACATCATTACAATCATCCTCCGAGTTACAATCTGGGTGCATTTCAATGTTTCAGCATTTGTAATTGATTAAAATTTATAAAATCTCAATTCATCTGCAAGTTTTCTTTTCAGTTTCTTTTCCTGCTGCTTTGTTGTTTTAATATTCAGGTAATCCAGGTCAGGTCAGGATAATCGAGATCAATCTTGCTACTGGTGTCACGTAACCCAGTACCACCTGCCACAAGCCCTGCTGCCTTGCAGAGTGTGCTCTTCTTAGGCTAAGGCTAGGAGAAATAAACTCCGACTAAAAATTCCCCTGCCTTGGGGCTTTTGGTTGAGTAAAGGCTAGAGATGGTGTCTCGATAAAAACACTCATCTTGGGCAGATGTTAACTGCATCCAGCTACTGTCTTGTAGAAGGCCTCCTAGGCAAAGACTTTAGGGGTAAGCAGAAAAATTATCCTAACCAGGCCCAAACCCCTTCTTTATCTAGGCTGGAGTAGATGTAACCTGTGTTACATTGTTTCCTGCCTAGGATGATGAATGCTGGATCTCCTTGACTCTACTCATAGAATTTTGCTTATGCCTCCTTGATAATGGCTAAACAACTCTTCCTGTTATCTCCATATGAGGGTACAGCTCTAAAACTCAGTTTAATGGTTCTGAGGCCAGCTGGTAGTAAGGTTTCCCGAACTCTGTGGTAGCTCTCAGAGAGGCTAATTCCATCAACAGCTGCAAAATATCAGAGTATTAACAGTGCCATGTTGCGCATGGATGGTGTCCCTGTTAATGCTTTTGGTGTGCATTGTCAAGGCCACATAAGGAGCCCTATGTCAAAGCTTAGGGTTAATTAACAGGACTGAGACAACTGCATAGCTCATTGATTAGGAGGCTGTGTCCTATCTATGAATGAGTCAAGTTCTCATTAAACCCAAATCATGACCAATGTAACCAAAAATTTAAAACCTAAAAAACCATCCCCACCATCTAAATATTTTAATATATCTTTTACAAATATTCGCGGTCTACGAAGTAACTTTCCATCAGTTAAGTCTTACCTCCTGCAAAATTCACCAGACTTGCTTGCACTCAGTGAAACAAATTTAAATTCTGCAATTCCTTCTTCAGATGTCAGTGTTGATGGGTACTATCCTTTGATTCGTAAAGACTCAAATAGTCTCATGCTAGGTTTAGGGGTATACATACGCATTAATTCCCCTATTTGTCGTGAAATCAGGTTCGAATCCTTTGACCATTCTTTTATGTGCTTTCCCCTAGCACCTCTTCACTCTATCACCTTTCTCTTTGTTCTTTATCGTTCTCCTTCTTCCCATGATTGCACTCTCTTAGATGTTATCTCTGATCAAATTGACCATGCCCTCTCTCTTTACCCCTCTGCCAATATTGTTGTTGTTGGTGATTTTAATGCACATCACACTGATTGGCTTGGCTCTTACACCACTGATCCTGCTGGCACTAAAGCCTTTAACTTCTGTGTTTCTCAATCTCTTCCTCAGATAGTTAACTTTGTGACTCGTTTTCCTGACAACCCTAATCATTTACCTTCACTCCTTGACTTATGTCTGGTCTCTGACCCTAGCTTATGTTCAGTTTCTCCCTTTGCTCCCTTAGGTGGTTCTGACCATGCCTGATCATGCAATGATCTCTATAAATCTTTCTTCTCGTACTTCTTTTTTGGGCTCACCTTATCATTGCACCACTTACTACTACCCTAAAGCTGACTGGGATTCCTTTCGTGATTTTCTTCTTAATGGTCCTTGGGCTGATGTTTTTTCTCTCTCAGCTGACAAATGCGCCTCCTACGCAACCTCCTGGATTCAGGCTGGAATGGAAGCTTTTATTCCTTCGCATCGGTTTCAAGTCAAGCCTTATTCTACTCCATGGTTTTCTCCTTCTTGTGCGGCTGCTATATCCAATCGTAATCATTTTTTTCATCTTTTTCAAAAGAACAACTCTCTTGAGAACTAACGGCTATTTATTATTGCAAGAAATTGATGTAAAAAGGTGCTTTCTGATGCTAAACTCCATTATTCTCAGTCCACTAAATCTCGCATCTTATCGCAGAAGTTAGGCTCTAAAGACTTTTGGAAAATCTTCAACAGCATTATTAACAAGGGTAGATCTAACATTCCATCTCTCATTCATGGGACTGATCTTATTACCTCTCCCAAAGATAAGGCAGAACTATTTGCAAAGAACTTTTCTTCTAATTCCACTCTTGAATCTTATGGACATTCTCTTCCTTCCATTTCAGTCAAACAGGTTGACCCATTGTTAGACATTCAAATCACTCCGGCTTTGAACAACATTCCTGTCACAGTCTTGCAGAATTGTTCTCCAGAACTTTCTTCAATTCTCTCTAAACTATTTAACAAGTGTTTGACTGAGTCTTATTTTCCTGCTTGTTGGAAAATGGCATCTGTGGTTCCAATATTCAAAAACTCTGGAGAAAATTCTGATCCCTCCAATTATCGTCCGATCAGTCTTCTTTCTGTTATTAGCAAGGTCTTTGAGTCTTTGATCAACAAATTCCTCACATCTCATTTTGAGTCAAATAAACTACTGTCAGACAATCAATACGGTTTTCGATCCTCTCGCTCTACGGCCGACTTGCTAACTGCTGTAACTGAAAGATTTTATCGTGCATTAGATGGAGGCAGTGAGGCTAGGGCTATTGCAATCTCGACATATCTAAAGCTTTCGACAAAGTTTGGCATGCTGGTCTTCTCCATAAACTTGCTTCATATGGTATTTCTGGGAAAGTTTTTGAGATTATCAAATCATTTCTTTCTAACCTGTTTATTAAAGTCATCCTTGAAGGCCAACACTCTTCTTTATTTCCAGTAACTTCTGGGGTTCCCCAAGGTTCCATCCTAGGCCCTGTTTTGTTTCTTATCTACATAAACGATCTTCCTGACAACCTTTCATCTAAAGTAGCTCTTTTTGCTTATGACTCAACTTTATACTCCTGTCTTGAAAAAAAGTCTTCTGTTTTCGATCGCCTAGAACAAGCAGCTAATCTTGAATCCGATCTCACTTCAGTAATAGATTGGGGTTCACAGTGGCTTGTGAATTTTAACTCTAAAAAAACCCAGTTGCTTACTGCAAACAACTACCGTAATATGGTCAACATTCCTATATTAATGAATGGCAATCCTCTTACTGAGTCCTCCTCTTTACGTCTTCTTGGATTATTGCTTACTACTGACCTTTCATGGAAACCATATATACAATCGATTGCTAAATTAGCTTCTGCAAAGGTTGCTTCTCTTTATCGTGCTCGCCATTTCCTTATTTCTGATTCCATTCTCTACCTTTACAAATCTCTTATTCGTCCCTGTATGGAATACTGTTGTCATATTTGGGCTGGTTCTTCTAATGATTCACTTTCTCTTTTTGACAAGGTCCAAAAACGCATTGTAAATGTTGTTGGACCTTGACTATCTGCTAAGCTTGAACCTCTTTCCCATCGTTGTAAAGTTGCATCTCTTTCTCTTTTCTACAAATACTATCATGGTCACTGCTCAAAGGAGTTATCATCTTTAGTTTATCATCATTTGTTTACTGTATCTGGCCCTGCATGCTCTAAAAACTTTTATTCATCTAGTTTTTTTCCCCGCACTTCAATCCTTTGGAACTCTCTCCCATCTTCATGTTTTCCTGACTCATACAACCTTCAACTTTTCAAGTCTTCTGTCAACCGTTTCCTTGCTCTATAACTCTGTTCTTTTTTTTCCTAGTAACTCCCAACTTAATAGTGGTTGCTTCCAGCCTTGTTGGGAGTGAATGCAAATAAAAAATAAAAAATAAAACAAAATATCAACGTTGCCAATAGCCATTTTCCTTTCTGTTCTTAGATCTGCAAGGAATATTATTTCATTTGGTGGAACTTTACGATTCTTTTCACAAGCACATGTCAAAAAGTCTTTACATTTTTATGAAGCACTATCAAAAATTCAAATATAGATTAGACAACTTTGGCACACCCAGGCAAAATGAATATCAAACAAACAAAAAAAATTTCTAAATTTTTTTCCAAAGGTCACTTTTTGGGGATTTTGGGGGATTTCAAAGTCCTTGGGGCATCTCATGAAAATTTTTTTGAGCATTGCAATTTTTACAGAGTATTTCTGACATGAATAGACAACTTTTGCACACCCTGGCAAAATGAATTAAAAAAAAAAAAATTTCACTGCACCCTAATATATATATATATATATATATATATCAGGCTTGGTCGGGAAGCAGGTGCGATCACTCTCGATAATTGACCACGGAAATAACATTTAGTTGCGAAAAGCTGGCCAGATTTTTAAGTCGTTTTGAGAACATTTCAAAAACAAACAAAAAAGCGCAATAAGATAAACTGGACCAATGAGAGACAGTTAAAAAAAACGTGAAAAAACCTAAAGCAAAATAAATATGATTAAAGCAAATATTTTTGAAACGTCGCTTTTTTATAATTTTTTATATATAATTAAGTGACATTTTTTGTATAAATCAACAACTTACTATTAATGATTGTTTAATTAGGAAACAAATGTTCTTCGATTTATCAAAGAGTATATATAATTTTTATTTATATATAAATAAAATATCTTATTTCCACCTTAACTAATAATATAATATAGAAATTAAGTAAAAATGTTAAATTACTATGCGAGGAGGAAGCGGAACTGCTTCACAATAACGCTGAAGCTGTTTAATGAGTGGGCTTTATAATTTTAATTAGTATTTAAAACAGAAAAAAAATAATTTTAAGTTTAAGTATAACAAGTTTGTAAGAATGACTGAAGCAAAAATAATTGAAGTTAGTTAATTAATTTCTAAGAACTTAAAAAATTTTTCTTTCTTGGAGGAAAGAATCAGTTATCGGGTACACTGAGGAAAATTGATAAGTGGTTAAAATTATTTGTATTAACTTTGATGATTATTAATAATTTCATTAAAAATGCAGTTATTATTTAAAGAATTTTTGTTTACAAAATCGATCGCACAAATTGCTTTAAAAGATTACATATTTTTATTCAAATGTAATTATTTTATTCAAATGTAATCACATTTGAATAAAAACACATACATAAAATTAAATGCTCAAAAATTACATACATAAAAATACATTACATAAAAAATACATAACATACATGAAAAACACATCCTTTATATAAAAAATAAGAATATACTAATAAAATCTATAATATATTTACAAAACAATGACAAGATAAAAAAGATAAATTTATTTTTGTAAGCAAATAATGTTAGTTTAAAACATTTATAGCTTTGTAGATGTGGCTCCAAGAATTAAAATAATAGTTCGTTTGATATTCTTAAAACAATTTATGCTAGAAATCTCAACGAAAACATAACAAAACTCAAATAATACAATTTTTTAAAATATTTCAACAGAATACTCTAGCAATTTTGGTTAGTATTTTTTGAACCAATAGAATTAATTTTTTATAGATTTGGTGGGTTTTTTGTTATGCAAATAATCTTTTTTTATTTTCCGCACAAAGATGTTTGAGAACATTTGAGTTTATTTATGTTTCCATGTATGTCCATAAAAAAAAATATTTTAAAATTTACGATAAAATAATGAACTTAATTAAGGAAACATACATAAATTTATATGTTCTCAGAATGACTAAAAAATCTGGCCGGTTTTTTGCAATTAAATATTATTTCCGTGGTCAGTTATCAAGTGCGATCGCACCCACTTCCCGACCAGGCTGATATAAATATATATCAGCCTGGTCGCTCACTTCCCGACAGCCTGATCGCATCCACTTCCCGACCAAGCCTGATATATATATATACTTAAAATCTTCCAAAAATGATTTTGGTATTTGGGATAGGATCTTAAAAATAAATATATAAATACATATACAGCAAATGTATTTAAAATGTTTAACATTTTTTCACAGGATGCACATTTAACGAAAATTTCACTATTACATGTCCAAAACACAAATAAAAAAATAAGGTATTTATTTTTAATTTAATAGTTTACTTCTGTCATTATTACAACAACAACTACTACTACTACTACTACTACTACTACTACTACTACTACTACTACTACTACTACTACTACTACTACTGTTGTTGTTGTTGTTGTTATTGTTGTTTTTATCATTATTATTATTATTGTTATTATTAATTATATAATTATAGTATAAAATTGTAAAACTTAAAGTTAATAGTTTCCAAAGCATAATATAAACAAGCTTTTTGTTTGGTACCAATATTAGACAAATAATTATTAAAGCAAACATGATTATTTAAACACATCAGGGAAGGATATTTATATACACAAAGAAAAATTACAGGCAAAGAAAGTTAAAAGCTTTAATAAGAGTATAAATTCTTAAATAAAATTTAATTGTTTGATATTTAACTGTAAAACCCATCATTAATTTGCTAGAAGTATTTCAAAACAAATATAAACTAATGATTTTGTCTACTATAGATCAATGTTTATTTGGCAAAGTCATTATAATTATTATTATTATTTATAATCATAAATATTTTTATTTAAATTGTTTCTAGCAATTTAAAACATGAGTTTATTTATTAGAGAAAAAAAGTATTTTGTAGAAATATATTTAATAGAGAAAAATAATTCAGTTTCCATTGTTTGCTCGATCATGCAAATTTTATGTAAAAATTTTTAAGAAATTCCTCAAAGGCTAAGTTCTATTGGTTACATCAAAGTTCTATTGGTGGTCTCTAAAGATGGAAATATTTAGAGATGAATAGTTTTTAATATTAGCAACTGCAACTATCTAATTGAATTACTAACATGTTTTTAAATACATAAATTCATACATTTACATGTACTACCTTAAATTTAAAAAAATATAATTTTGATAAACTATTTTCAAAGTTTTCTCTAATTCATCTTTTACAACTTGTGGTCTAGAATACATTCATTTCTTACAAAAATATTTTCGCAAGAACTTTTACCTCTTATTTGACTCTATTTGCTGATAACACAAGCGTATATTACAGTCGACTAAAAGTCATCTCTTAAAACAACCAAGCTTAAATGTGATCTCTTTTTGTAAAGGCTTTGGTAATTCGTTGCGGATCGGGCATCTGCTGATGTTGGCTTTATTGTGCTCATTTTCATTATTCATTTTTTTTCTTATCATTTATTATCATTCATTCCTGATTCCATTCTCTACCTTTATCTAAGTATCTTTGTATGGATTTTAGTTATTTGATAACTAAAATCTATTCGGGGTGACTCATCTGATAAGGTTATTCCACTTTTAGATAAGATTTTAAGATAAGTTGTAAGTATTTTTAAAACTGTTCTAGCTGCTAACCTGGAGCCTATGCTCCATTGTTGTAAGGTCATACTATTTTCACTTTTTACAAAAACTTCTTGAATGAAAAATATGACTAAGCGAAGTCACATCTTTTTAGTGTAAAAATATCTTAATCCTCAATAAAATTCATATAGCTTTTTTCCTCAAATATCAGTGTTTTCAAATTCTATTCCAAAATTAAGTTTTTTTGACACATTCAATTCGTGTCTATCTAGAATCAAAATTGCAGAACTAATATTTGGAAGAAATATTTTTCTAAAACATAACTTAGCAACATCTCGTTTAGTTTAACCGTAACTTAGCAATACCTTGTTTAGTTTAACACAGGCTTGAACTAAATGGGGTGTTCTATATGCATAATCTGTAGATATTCTAGTTTGTCCAATAAATTTTTGCTTCGGATCAGACCTTCCAAAGCTGGAATTTTTGTCATGGCCTGCAGAGTCTTGCAACTAGCTACTAGACTAAACTAGACAAGCTTTTTACTGAAACTTGTTAAAACTGCAAATACTTTCAGTTTCATGTCATCATTTTTTCCGATTGTTTCCATTGTCATGCCATCATCTTTTCATTGCATGCTTTTTTTTATTATTGATAATCTTTGAAGTTGGTTTGATGGTAACATTTAGTTTTTTCATTTATGACTTTTTATGCTTTACATATTTTAATAAAAAAACAAACAAATCCAAAATACCTTAAACTTTTTATTTTATTAAAATCATATTTTTTTGTAGTGTTGTTACGACTATTAAATAATTTGACTGTCCACTAAATCAACTTATATATTTTTTTATATAAGTTGATTTAGTTTTTTATAGAATTCAATTATTTGGACTAAAAGTCAATTTAGTAGAAGTATGGAGATAATTTATTTTTTTTGAAATTATTTTTAATAAAAATGATAAAGTGAATAAGAAAATAAATATGAATATATTCATTTTCTTATTCATAACTTAAATTGCTAGTTTAGATGAGAACTCTGACGTCACACTGAAATAGCCTGCTACCAGTGGCTTTAGTACACACATTGACTGACAAATAGCCTAACTCGGATTAGAGTGCTGCTACATCGGCTGTGGGTTTGGGATGGGGCAGCAATCTTTTTTTTCATTATTCGTTTATTTCTTTTTTTTCTGAAAACGCTGTTTGCTATAAATATAAGCAAAACTAGAATAGTTAAATATATATATATATATATATATATATATATATATATATATACATATATATATATATATATATATATATATATATATATATATATATATATATATATATATATATATATATATATATATATATATGTTTACGCCGAATTTGCCAACTTGCCGATTTCGTGAAATAGGCAATTTCACGAATTAAAAATATTGCCTTAATCCCAAAATACGTAAAAACCTTAGCAAAGTCATTATTTTTTCTTAAATGATAGACTGCCAGCCCAAACCAAACCCTCAGTCGATGTAGCAGCACTTCGTTGCGAGTCAAGCTATAAGATAGTCTTATAACTTAATATAAATATATATATGTATATATATATATATATATATATATATATATATATATATATATATATATATATATATATATATATATACATATTTATTATATTATATATTATTTATATATATACATATATATATACTGACTTGTATATCAAAAAGTAATTGATATACAGCAAGTCAATGCTGTATATCAATTAATTTAAAAAGTAATTGCAATCATATATATCAATTAATTTAATTTGTTTATCAATTAATTTAAAAAGTAATAGCAATCATATTTACAATGTGATTGTATAGGTGACATTTAGTGGTTCCCTCGCAACTTTTAATCCAAGCTGGCTCGGCCCCCCAGTCCCCGAGCCAACTTATAGCGGCCCTGTATAAAATTATTAATAAAAATCACTAGCATAGAATAAACAAAAGAAAAAAAAATTAATGAAATACACCGTCGAAAGTTTGATTAGGCATAAATAGTGCTAACATCTTATGAATAATCTTTAGATAAAAATTTAAGAGAATAAACTAAAAACTAAGTAATAATTATAATATTACATTATTATTAATAAATGAACAAAGAAAAATTAAAGTTTGAAAAGTTACGTCGCATGAAAAGATATAATTATTTTATGATATTTACTCTACTAAATCGATTTTTATCAATTAGTAAGAAGTCTTTAGTCGATTAAATCGACTATTAGATTTTTCAAAGTCGGCTAATTTTGACTTTCAATTAGTTGACTTTTAGTCGATTTACTTTTCAAAACGAACTAGTTATCTTTTAGTCGATGACAACATTTTTTTAACACATTTTTATTAAATCAAAATTGTTTTGCTTTAATCTTAATTTTACTTTACTCACATTTTTAACAAGTGTGAGATGAGTTACCTAACCTGCTAGTAACTGATATACAAGAAAAGTTGTAATCTAGCTTACTTAAAACGTTATATGTAAGACATCAGTAAAATACTATGGTTTTAAAGTGTACAAAATAGATTCACCATTTTATTTTTCTGAATCAAGTACTGCAAACTTGCAACGCATTTACGAAAACTAAGCGTAACAAATTTTTTACTTTTATTTTGATGCTTTTAACAAATTTTTTTATCGATTAAAAATTTTTAGAACGTTCCCGAAATCAAGATATTTACACAGTTTTTATGAAGACATTGAGTTTTTATGAACACATTGAGTTTTTTTGAAGACATTGAGTTTAAATACTAATATATAACAACTAGCGATGCTTTCTGTGGCGAAAGGCTAAAAGAATAGCCAGATAATAATCATTTGGCGAAATTAAATTAGTAGGTTACTGTTAAATAAAGTATTGACTTTATTTGCAAGAAAGTTGGCAATTTTGTGTATGACCAAGGTTAAAAAATCTGTGTATGACCAAGGATACATTTAAAATAATCACAACAAAGATTCTTGTAGATTTAATAGATGAATTAAAAAACAGTTAGCTGAAATTTTCTGATTGCATTGCTGGGCGACTAACTACTACTTTTTTGTAATTTTAGTCGTCCGGTTCTGCTGGACGACCTTAAACGTAACGCCGCTGACAGCACGTCTATAATAAGGCTGTATTTGTTTTAAGAAACCGACGCAGTGAAAGAGCGTTTCGCAAGCAAGAGAACTCGCATTTGATCCTATATATTTGATCACTTTTCTTGTGGTAGCAGCTTAACTTATATTTTTGCGCAGCGTAAAAAAGTTACTTTATCATTTGCATAAACAGTATCTTTAAACTTAATGTAGTCAAAAAAATTTTAATCTCAAGTTTTAACTTAGTAAGTTCGATACTTTTTTCTAGAGATGATGTAAAAATAAATACTTTTTGGGCTGTATTTAAAAATAAAATATTTATAAAAATATGTTATAAAATTAAAATAATGTATAAAATATTTATGGTTTAATTTATCTATGAAATATATTTTTTAATATAAATAGTTTTTAATATATATAATTGAATATTTTTTAAGGGACTTATCACTAAGGAAGACAGTATTCCAAATGTTTTGCTTAAACGTCCGCATCCAAGTTATTTTCTCTCCCAATATTCTTGTTGCTCTTATGATATGTTTTATTGTTTGTTTTTTCTAGGATCATCGTTATAGTAAGGTTTTACGTACAATATTCATCAGGTGCACAGATAATAAACGCAAAACGTGAAACGTGTACAGAGTTTTTGGGTTTAAAAGAAAATTTTTGCGCATTGGTTTCAAAGTGATCGGTTGTAAATGTTTCGAAGTGGAATTTCAATTAATTTATTGCATCCAACATTCTGCATTTAGTTGTAACTATGTTGCATAAAAAGTGCATTACTTAATGATGTCAGTTATAAAGAAAATTAAAATTTTAATCTTATCGATTACAAAATATTAGATGGACTTTTGACGGTTCCGCATCGTTTCTAATAATAATAAAAAATAAATAAATAGGTAACTATAGTAATTACATATTTAAGATTTTCTCATTTGATCTCTACAGTCAAAATTAGTAGTTGCTGAAAGCATTTCTTTTTATTTATCAATGTATGTATTTCCATTTTTTTTTTTTTTTTTTGCTGTTCACTCAGTTAAATAAAATACAAAGAAATGTTCACATGATAAGGATTTATATAAACAAACGGGTTGCGTAAAGAAGATACGGACTTATATAGTTGGCTTAATATTTTCAAAAAGCCGTATGTCCAAGGCTGGGTTAGGTACTTCTCGGTCTCCCGGCACTTTAGATCATCTGACCCCTATTGGTTAGCTCTCTTATCAAACCTCTATTCCGGAGGTCTCCTTTAAGTCCGCAAACATGAAAAAAACGATTCATTTAGTTCAAGACAACCTACCCAAACCCTCAGTCGATGTATGCACACTTGCTATTCCTATGGCTAAATAAATCATTCAACGTATGTACGCTACAAAGCACCTATACCTATATATCCCAATTACCCTATTCCCTAAAATCCCGGTTTTCAGACGTGAAAGATGCTCGACGTCAGAATAGAGGTTTGAAAAGAGAGACTACCGCCCCTATTGGCCTACTAGTATTCAAATTTAACAGCGGTTTAAAACAAAAAAATCTTTGTAATTGTTGCGCTATGGCTTTATAATGTATTTTCTTTTGTATTTAAAGCATCTCGCGTTACATGCGGCCGTGACGCAGTGGTTAGAGCGCTTGCTTAATAAGCAGGAGATCCAGATTCAAAACGAATTTTAGACATATTTTCGCGTCACGGTAGGGAATGAGGCGTAAACTTCCTGGTTAAATGCACTACCACGGTGGTCTGTGACAAGACCGTTAAGTCTTCTTGGGGCACCTAAAATAATAAATTAAAAAAAATAATTTATTATCAAAAACACGCTACGATTAGTATAGGTTTTAAAACACCTTTTTCTGCATTTTAAGCTTACAAATGCAGATATAATACCTTTTAGATCGATGGAATCCAATACCCGGTTTTCTATTCGAACAATAGAAAGATCTAAAAGACGTTCCTGAAAAAAAGCTTAAAATAAAGACATTCATTCAATAAGTGAAAGTTAAGATCAGTAGGATATTGGTCAACAAGTTTTTATGAACTGCAAGTAATCTCCGAGATATCCATGCTGCGGAGATTCACAAGAAAACCTAACTGAGAGTTCAATCCAGAATAGTCTTTCTTTCTTTTATCTAGATCACTCTTTGGTTTGTCCGTGATCTCATTAACGTCGGCAATGATTTAAGATCACCCAAAAAACACTATAATTCCTACACTGTTAATTTCATCATTGTCATGCCTCTTGCGTGCTCTTGGGAACCTTAAAACATAGACATATTCATCACTGTTGACCAAAGACACGGCTTCATTTTCATATTGCTCAAAATTGGAGCGAACTTGCTGCTGGTAATGCTCACCATACCTAATCAAGCTTCACCTTGTAAATAGAATAAGCCTTTCAATAGCTAAACAAACATCAGCACGAGCTAACCAACGAGTTTGTGAGAGAGTCTAGGGAATCTTAAAACGTATTCTAGCAAAAAACATTGATTTTAAGATGCGTTGATGCAAGGAACTTTGGCTTTAAGACACCGATGCGTTGATGCAGGAAAGAAGTTAAAAATTTCTTAAAGAAAGCTAAAGAATTTAACAGCAGCTTCATTGGATTCCTCAGAACTCACTCCTATGCGGTGCAAATAGTGAGAAACGCATGGAATTTAAAAACAAACTGTATATATAGCAAAATATATACAGTTTGTTTTTAAAAGCAAATGTCTATCAACACAAAACAATACAAAAAAACAACATAGCAACAACAACATATAAAAATAGCACATACCTTAAGATTATATAAAACATCTAAAACATAACTTAGGTAACATAAAATTAGGTAACATATGGAATAAAAAAGCAAATTATATGTATGGCAAAATTATTTGTTTTTGCAGCGCATGGAATGTATTCGGCGAGAACGTTGATCTCTTTATCTTTTGATTGTAAACCAAAGTAGATTCCAGACACATTACTGGCATTGTCGTATGATTGGGCACTGCAATTTTAAATGTTGATCGCATATTAATCTAACTTTTTCAAAACGATTTCAGGCATGAAAACTGGAAAATGATTATGCATAAAATCCGCTAAACTGGTTTTCCATTTTGTACATATAGGGTGTAGAATCAACGGTGATTGAGAACTATTTCGCAAATTTGATTTCGCTAACTAAAAAATTATGTTTGAAGTAAATAAAAAAATTATTCCAAAACATGTTATTTAATCATGATTGTATTAATTTTAAATTCCATAACCTCGGCGACTATAAAGTGCATGATTTTTTCGCAAATGTCTTTAGATAAGTACGAGGTACAACTATTTCTTTTGTTTCCATGAGTTATCAAATATTGGATGAGGAAAGGAACAATTTTACTGATAGAACAACACATCCAATGTTTCAGTTGCGTATCGATCCTATTTTGTCGTCTGATCCGCGGAATGATAATCCACTGAAAATGAACAATAAATAAAATATCCAATTATTTTAAACTTCTTTTTTCGCCATTATATTTTTATTTTTTTTTAAGTTTCTTTTTTCACTATTTTGTTCGAACTTGAAAGTTTATTCAAGTCGTTTAAAAAAATTAGACGTCCAGTTCGCGATACGTATGCGGTGTTATTGCAAAGATTAAAAATCTCTGGGACATGAAAGTCAAGGATAGATAATTTTTCTTTCAAATTATATATCTCTCAAAAAAATCACTTAGATGCACTTGCCCCTTGAACCTTGTGGCCTTCCGGCACGTGTCCAAAGTGTCCGTTGGTTAAACCAGCATTGTCTATGTCAACTTTAGTGGCATTTGCATTATTTCATAAGTATTTATAAGAAAAATAGCTAGTTTGTTATAAAAAGCAATAGAATCTTTAAAAATTTATTTAAAAACCGTTTTAAAACAGGATCGGAGTGCTAGGGTTTAAAAAACAGCAACCATTTCTTATAATTTATTCGACAGAATCCAGTAATTTATCAAGTTTTAATTGCTAAGCAACAAACAAAAAAAAAAAAACTATATATGTTTGCTATTCAAAGTCATGTTAATTAAAATAAAATAAAGAATCTATAAGTGACGTCCTTTTCTGACAACCTCCCTTTTTTTTCCAACCTGCCCTTTTTTGTCCTTTTTATCTCAACCCCTCCCCCCCCCCCCTATTTGGATGACGTCTTTTCTCATTTTTATATAATTATGTCATGGTTAAATGTGTTAAATGCGTTTGAACAGTAAAAACAATTATTGTTCTTAATTTGCCTTGCTCTGAAAAACCGTTGAAGCTTTGTACCTTTATACAAGCTTTATACAAAATTATTAAGCTTTATACAAAAAAATAACATAGTTATATATATATATATATATATATATATATATATATATATATATATATATATATATATATATATATATATATATATATATATATATATATATATATGTATATATTATATATATATATATATATATATATATATATATATATATATATATATATATATATATATATATATATATATATTATATATATATATATATATATATATATCAAGTAGTGGGGATTGTCTGAAACTTTAATATTTATACCTTGTATTGAGGTATTCGAAAAATTGTTATTATTATTATTATTTTTAATATCTTCGCTTCCAACAAGGCTGCAAGCAACCACTAATTAATGTTGGAAGTTACTGAAAGAGAAAAGATGAAGGTTGTAGAGCAAGATAACGATTGACAGATGACTTGAAAGATTGCAAATTATATGAATCAGGAAAGTAAGATAAAGGAAGCGACAAATGTAGTTTGTAGCCTACAAAGGTTACAAACTACATTTCAAAATTTTTCTTTTTTTTGCAAAAACCATTTTGACTTGCCGCTGCATCAAAGACTTTACTACTATTTTGAACAAATTTCGGCTTCGTTCTCCATCCATTCTATTATAACTCAGTTCAAACACGGTTACGGCGCCTTCAATAATAGTCAGGGAGGCCTGATTATTACTAGAGAAAGCTTCGACGTCCGCGACAACACGTTCCGGTTGCTTTTTCTAAGGACGCCCTGATGTGACAAGGAAAAGAAAATAGGTGAATGATTAGATTTATCTGTCTTTACTGTTCCCGCCTATAGTAAAACATCACAGATTGAATTAGTGTATTGTCTATTGCAGAGACTGAAGTTGGAGTTACTCGGGTTGGTTTTTTAATAATTGGCATGATGTTACAAATAACCGTTGATTATTTACACTGCGCGACATAATGATAAGACAC